TCTCGGGGGGGAGTTCGTTCCAGAGGGTGGGGGCACCCACAGAGAAGGCCCTCCCCCTGGGGGTCGCCAGCCTACATTGCTTGGCCGACGGCACCCTGAGGAGGCCCACTCTGTGGGAGCGTACCGGTCTGTGGGAGGGAATCTGTGGCAGAAGGCGGTCTCGGAGGTAACCAGGTCCAATGCCATGGAGCGCTTTAAACCTGCCCATCATGTTATTCCCTGTATCTACTTCCTGTACTGATTAGCAGGTGTATAAGTATTTGTCTACAATAATGAGTGGGAATGGGAAAGGATAGGACGGGGGGATAGGGATGGGATGGAAGAATAGGAATAGAATAGAATAGAATAGAATAGAATAGAATAGAATAGAATAGAATAGAATAGAATAGAATAGAATATTAAAATAGAATAGAACATTAGAACAGAATAGAAAATCAGAATAGAGTAGAATAGAACATTAGAAAAGAATAGAATAGAAAATTAGAACAGAACATTGGAATGGAATGGAATTAGTTTCTTTATTGGCCAAGTGTGATCGGACACACAAGGAATTTGTCTCTGTGCATAAGCTCACAGTATTCATACAAACAGCAATTAATAGGTCATAAGAGTATAAATCATAGTTGCAATCATTAATCATCAGTTACAAACAATTGATAAATCTTAAGAAACCAATAGGAGAAGACAGTAGGAGAAGATGAGAAAAGACGAGAAATGAGACAGTGCTCTGGGAATTGTTTAGCAGAGTGATGGCATGGGGGGAGGGGAAATCTGTCGTGTCTGGTTATTTTGGTGTGCAGTGCCCTGTAGCGTCATCTTGAAGGAAGGAGTTGAAATAACATTATGTCCAGGATGTGAGCAGTCTGTAGGTATTTTCTCAGCCCTTCTGGTTCGTGCAGTATACAGATCCTCAATGGAAGGCAGGCTGGTTGTAATTGTTTTTTCTGCAGTCCTAACTATCCGCTGAAGTCTGTGTCTGTCTTGTTTGGTTGCAGTGCCAAACCAGACAGTTATAGAGGTGCAAATGACAGACTCAATTCGTTGTAGCTGTTCCAAGAGTTTTCAGTAATGTTGATCCTGTCCACCATCTTATCATCTTAAATCTTATCTGCTATCTTTTCATTTCATTTCATTTCTTTTTGTTTCATGTCTGTCTGTCTGTCTATCTATCATATATCAAATTTTATAACCTCCCATCTGGGCGATGATTCCTCATTTTCCTTCCTTCAGCCTTGCCAGTTCATGATCCACTTCCATCGACATTTCTGCACGAGGATCATAACCTCAGAAGTTCTCTCTGAAGTTCTTTCCACAGTCAGCGCACTCATATGGTGTCTCCCGTGTGGATCCTTCTGTGGGAAGTAACAGAACTGCTCTTTCTAAAGCTCTTTCCACATTCCGTGCATTTGTACGGTTTCTCCCCCGTGTGGATCCTTTTATGAGAACTAAGGGAACTGCTTGCAGTGAAGCTCTTTCCACATTCCGTACATTTGTATGGCTTCTCCCCTGTGTGGGTCCTTTTATGGGATGCAAGGGAACTGCTTACACTAAAACTCTTCCCACACTCCATACATTGATACGGCTTCTCTCCCGTGTGGATCCTTTTATGGGAAGTGAGATGACTTGCATCACTGAAGCGCTTTCCGCACTCCGGGCACTGATATGGTTTCTCCCCAGTGTGGATCCTCTTATGGGAGGTAAGGCGGCTTTTCTGACAGAAGCGCTTCCCACAATCCGCACACTGATAGGGTTTCTCCCCTCTGTGGATTCTCGTGTGGGAAGTCAGGTAACTTCTCTTAATGAAGCTCTTTCCACACTCCGTGCATTGATAGGGTTTTTCTCCTCGGTGAATCCTCATGTGGGATGTAAGGGAGCAGTTCACGCTAAAACTCTTCCCACACTCCATACATTTATATGGCTTCTCTCCGGTGTGGATCCTTTTATGGGAAGTGAGGTGACTTGCATCACTGAAGCGCTTCCCGCACTCCAGACACTGATACGGTTTCTCCCCGGTGTGGATCCTCTTATGGGAAGCAAGGTGGCTTCTCTGAGTGAAGCACTTCCCACACTCCACACATTGATAGGGTTTCTCCCCTCTGTGGATTCTCGTGTGGGAAGTCAGGTAACTTCTCTTAATGAAGCTCTTTCCACACTCCATGCATGGATAGCGTTTTTCTCCTCGGTGGATCCTTTCATGAGTCATACGTTGACTTTTCTGTGGGAAGCTCTTCCCACAGTCCATGCATTGATACGGCTTCTCCCGGACATGACACTTTTGATGATTATTGAGATGGCTACTCTGGCTGAAGCTCTCTCCACATTCCACACATTTATATAATTTTCCTCCAAGCGATATATTTTGATTTAAAGTAAGAGGAAAGGCCCAAGAAGAACGTTCCCTACTTTCATGCTGTGCCTCCGCAGGGTGCCTTCTGCAATATCGACACAATCCTGATTCCTCTTTCAATACTTTTCCACACCCTGGACACATTCTGCTTTCTTGGTGATATTTTTTGGCCAGGAACACACTGTTATCTGCACAATTGAAAGCGGAGGCTTTCTCTGGCTCTCTGTTTAGCTGGTTTTCCTCAGGTCTTCGCACTTCCTGTTTATCTCTGAACATCCTTTCTCTGATTTCATTTTTGACTGTTGGTGAGTGCTTTGTCATCTCCTTCTTAAAGTCCTCGTTCTCCCACTTTTTGCCTGATTGCAACAAAAAGAAAAAACAAAGAGTGAGTTTCACGAGATGTTCAAGGCACAAGCTGAAGCAGCATCAGGGATCAAACTCTATTGCTACATCCTGTATTTGAACATTACAGGTAGTTCTTGACTTATGAGCCATGGTGGCGCAGTGGTTAGAATACATTATTGCAGACTGACTCTGCTGACTGCCAGTAGTTCGATCCTGACTGGCTCAAGATTGACTCAGCCTTCCATCCTTCTGAGGTCAGCAAAATAAGGACCCAGATAGTTGGAGGCAATATGCTGACTCTCTGAAAAAAGAGTAGAGAAGAAGAAAGAGAAACCTTACCCACACAAGCCACATTCCTTGCATTTTCCAACATGACCTCTCTGTACAGCAATTTTTCCTCAGGATTCAGCAGGGCCCACTCCTCTTCAGAAAAAAACACAGCTACATCTTCAAATGACATACGATTCTGACACTTAAAAAAAAGAAAGAAATCCCTCTTAATATACAATCGAGGTCGTAAATCAAGGACTACCTGTACTATATGAAAATCGCCCAGGGGTCACTCTGAGATTGAGATGGGTGGTATCTAAGCTTTATAAATAAATACAAATAATTGTTTTATTTATCAAGCTTAGATACCAACCATCTGACTCGCAGAATGACTCTGGGCGATTTTCAGATAGTAAAGATAGTCCTTGACTTACGACCAGAATTGAGCCCAACATTTCTGTTGTCAAGAGAGACAGTTATTCAATTATGGTGGAACTTACAGCAGATTTTTAAAAAAAGGATTATTTTCCTTCCACAGTTGTTTCTTCTAGGTATTGTGCAAGATTTAGATGCAAAAGAAATAAATTTGATGCTTTATTGTTTATCTGCTGCCCGATTGCTAATAGCCCAAAATTGGAAGAGCCCAATTCTGCCTACGATGGGAGACTGGAGATTGAAAGTTTCGTATCTTGCTGAAATGGCAAAGATTTCGGCTTACTTGAAGAATCATTCGAATGAACAATTCTTATCAATATGGAGAAGATGGATTGTTTATATTCAAAAGAAACATAGAGTGGTAGAATATAAGTTAGGTTTTTAGATTTTTTTATGTTTGTTTACTTCTATCTTTTCTGGTAGATTAAGATATTTTGTGGAGTTAGAGATACTAGTATTTGTTTACTTTTATACGAATATTATCCTGGGATTAGGTTTGGGAAGTTCTGGGGGGGGGGTTATTGATTGTTTATTGTATTTATGTATGATTGTTTTTTTATGATGGGAAAAATAAATAAAATTTTCAAAAAAAAAAAGAGAGACAGTTGTTAAGTACGTTTTGCCTCATTTTATGACCTTGTTTGCCACAGTTAAGTTAATAACACAGTTGTTAAGTGACTCTGGCTTCCCCATTGACTTTGCATGTCAAAAAGTCGCAAAGGGGGAATCACGTGACCCCAGGACACTGCAACCATCCTAAATATGAGTCAGTTGCCAGGGGTCTGAATTTTGACCACGTGATCATGGGGATGCTGCAACGGGCATTATTAAGTGTAAAAAAAAACCACTTTTTTCAGTGCCGTTGTAACTTTGAGCAGTCACTAAACAAGTTGAGGGATACCTATAAAGTTTTCTATCTTAATGATCTATTTATCTTCAGTGATCCTGCAAGACCTCAAAGCCCCTTCAGTCGTTAACAACTTTCATATCCTTCTGGATCAGCTGGTGGGACAGGCATTGGATTCGCCTTTTCGCAGAGATTTTCTCTTTTGCTCACATCTTGACAATGGAATGCAAAGGTGGGAGGGGTGATATCTAGGCAGCCGAGAGTCAAGGCCAGCTGCTCGAATGAGAAGTAGACTGTTTCCATAACAAGAAAAAATATTACTCTTGGACAATGTGAATACCCAGTGGGTGGGGGTGAGGGAGTCTATCGTTTAACTAAGCAAGCCTTCGAATGGGAAAACCAGAGCTGGTTTTGTTTTCTTCTGTGCCAATGTAAATTTTCAGTAAAGTATTATACTTTTGGTAAAATCACGTCCCAGGAGTTTCTTTTTCTGTAAATGCCAACTGGACAGTTGACACCCCTTTTGTTTCTGGAAGATGGATTTCCTCAATCGGGACTTTGGAGAATCTTATTTCATGTTTCAACAAGTGGACGTAGCCACCAGTTCTCTTTTCTAATGACCCAATCTCAACAACAAACACCTGGAGTAATTAAGCACTTTTGGCAGGTAAAACTTTTCTGAAAGGTTTCTGATTCAAAATACACCTCAATAAATATTTGATTAATTTTGCTGATTCTGCAGAATTTCAAAACTGGTTTCGGTTGGTAGCAACAGTAAGTGCTGGAACAACTGATGGGATGAGTCTTGGTCGGGGCCTTTGAGTCCTTCCTGGAAGATGGCTTCCTCAATACAGTGTTGGGACAATCCTAGCTGATATGTTAATGGGTAGCTTATCTTGTCCCTTAAGAGATACACACGTTCAACAGCTACACGAGGCTGCTGGAACAGGACCTCTCTAGAAGCATGAGATATCACCAATGTTCAAATGGTACCAAGAAGCTGCTCCCACTCTGAAGAAATGGTAGAAGGGAGCAATTTAAATGAACTAATTTGAAAGAGGAATTCGACTTGCTTTGGAGGAAATGGAATATGCTCCTTGTCGAAATCACATTTGCACACTGAAAGAGAAAGGAATCCTCCTCAGAATAACAGAGTTGGACGGGACCTTGGAGGTCTTCTAGTCTAATCCCCTGCTCAAGCAGAAGACCCTATACCATTCTGGACAAATGGCTGTCCAGTTTCTTCTTAAAAGCCTCCAGTGATAGCCTCCAACTTATGGAGGCAAGCCGTGCCACTAGTTTACTGTTCTCACTGTCATGAAGTTTCTCCTTAGTTCTAGGTTGCTTCTTTCCTTGATTAGTTTCCAGCCATTGTTTCTTGTCTGGCCTTCGGCTGCATTGGAGAATAGGTTGACCCTCTCTTCTTTGTGGCAGCCTCTCAAATATTGGAACACTGCTATCATGTCACTCCTAGTTCCTTCTTTCCACTAGACTAGATATATCCATGGGGTCGTGATGGGTCGGACACGACTTCACAATTAACAACAACAACAACAGATATACCCAATTTCTCCAACAGTTCTTTGTATGTTTTAGCCTCCAGTCCCCTAATCATCTTTCTTGCCCTTCTCTGCACTGTTTCCAAAGTCTCAACATCTTTTTTTATATTGTGGTGATCAAAATTGGATGCAATATTCCAAGTGAGGTCTTACCAAGGTATTGTAAAGTGATACTAACACTTTACGCAAGCTTGATCCCTCCTACCTGAGTTGGAATGATAATTGCAGTTTCAGTTCCACCACAAAGAAAAGGCATTTCTGCATGAAACCTCAGGATTGCTCCATTCCCTGATAAAGACAAAAATGGAGAAAGACACTTTGAAAACATTCCGACTGCATTCTGGAGCAAAATTATGGAAAACAAGGGCCATTCTTTCACACAAGTCAGACTGCAAGTAAGCAGTACCAATAGCACTTAGACTTATGTACCACTTCAAAGGGCTTTACAGCATTCTCTAAATGGTTTATGAGGTCAGTGTTTTGCCCCCAACAATCTGAGTCCTCATTTTACCGATCACGGAAGGATGGAAGAGCTGAACACACTTCTCTTGGATGAGAAACGAAACGTCTTCAAAGAAAAACAAGGAAGTCCAGTTGCCTCTTGAAAAAGCACCTGTGGGACAACCATGACCTGGGTGTCGGAGAATCTCCATAGACAGATGGAAGGCTGAGTCAACCTTGAGCCGGTCAGGATCAAACTACTGGCAGTCAGCAGAATTAACCTGCAATACTACATTCTAACCCCTGCGCCACCATCACAATGAGAAGGAAGGACTCACTGGAGAAGGGCCTAATGCTGGGAAAGATTGAGGGCAACAGAAGAAGGGGACGACAGAGAATGAAGTGGCTGGATGGAGTCACTGAAGCAGTAGGCCTGAGCTTAAATGGACTCCAGAAGATGGTAGAGGACAGGAAGGCCTGGAGGAATGTTGTCCATGGGGTCGTGATGGGTCGGACACGACTTCACACCTAACAACAACACTGATCTGGGGATGAGACTGTGGCCAGCAGTCCAACCTCTTTGATTAACTGAGCAGGTGGCGAGGAATGAAATAAAGAAGTCTAAAGGGTTAGGTTTGGAGGAAAGCTCTATTGCTCATAAGAGAAAAGGTCTCTTGTCAATCATGGAAAGGCCGAGTGAAAGTATGAAGAACTGAGGTTCCTTAAGTCTGACCTCTGCATGGACCGAATCTACTAAAATAAAGAGAGAGATTTTAAGATTGTATCTAGGATTCATTTCTTCCTGGGGACTTCAAGGAAGTGGTTAGAATGCAGTATTACAGGCTAATTCTGCCAATTGCTAGCAGTTCGATCCTAATCAGCTCAAGGTTGACTCAGCCTTCCATCCTTCTGAGGTTGGTAAAATGAGGGCCCAGATTGTTGGGGGCAAGATGCTAACTCTGTAAACCGCTTACAGAGGGCTGTGAAGCACTGCGAAGCGGTATATAAGTCTAAGTGCTATTGCTATTGCTATCTGGGGGTTTGGTGGGAGTTGATTGGCTGGATCAAGGTGCTCAATGCCTCATTGGGAGAGATGATGCTACGTGCTTTGAAAGAGGCATCTCTGTCTGGGAATGCCAGCAGTTCAAAAGGGCCTTTGTTGGTTAAATATTTGCTTATCGGGACATTGGAGAAACACTGGAGTAAGTTTCCAAGCTGAACCAATATATTTAATGAATGAATTACATTCTGCAATATGTTTCTTTTCAACTTCAGACAGGAAAGCGGTGCAGACAGCGGTAAGAATGGCAGAAAAGATTATTGGCAGTTCATTTCCTTTTAATAAAGGACATAGCACATAAGTGATGCTTGAGCAGGGTCCACAGGATTGTCTGGGACACTACACATCCTCTTCACGACCTGTTTTCCTTGTTACCTTCTGGGAGGGGGCTTCGTGGTATCCAAAGTAGAACATCCAGATTCAGCCATAGTTTTGTTCCGTACAGCATCAACCTTGTGAATTCTCAAGTTTCCCCTTTCCGCTATGTGTTCAAAATGAACAGTGATTATGTGTGTGTGTGTGTATACACACATATACACACACATATATACATGTGTATACACAGAAATATATACATGTACACACACATATGTATATAGCATGTGTATATGTGTGTTATGTATGGGTATGGGTAGATATATACTTTCTTTTGAGAGCAGGCAACAGAATTTAACTTTTAATGTGGGCCAGTAAAAAAATGACAATAAAGGTTATCTTATCCATCTTAACTGCACCCTGCTATGATTCCTTGTGGAGTGCAACAATATGAAGAACCATATTTTTTTTTTACCTGCTGACGTGATCTGAGCTGGATCCTCTTGGGTGATCCCCCAAAAGGCTGGTTCCTGAGAGAGAGATGACACATCTGTGTGTGCTTGGGGTTCTTGAGCACCTTGTTCCATGAAGGAATCCTGAACCTGTCAAAAAAAAGGAAATAAGTTTAAGATCCATATATGGCTGGAAAAGATGACTAAAATACAGATAGAATTTAAGCCAGAACTGTTTTTGTTAGGAATATTAGGACATAATTATGGAAAAGAGAATGAATATTTAATATTACACGTATTGACAGCCGCGAGAATAGTATTTGCCCAATTTTGGAAAAATGAAAACTTACCATCTGACCAGATTATAATCACGAAAATCTTAGAATGTGCAGAAATGGATAGATTAACTTTAGAGATTAAAGAGAAAGAAGATTCAGTTTATTTCAAAACTTGGGAAAAAATTTATCAATGGTTAGCAACACGATAGAATGAGAAAGGATGGTGAAATTTAACAGGATGAATGATATTCATTGATTAAGCTTTACTTTCATGATTATTGTTATTATAAGTGATTATAACTGTTTAGTATTATATTAACTACTATTATTTAATATTTGTACCCGGACAATAGTCTGCTTGCTAAAGCTTTGAATTTCTGTTGAGGGTAACCCCACTATTGTATCTATCCCTATCCTTATCCCAATCCCATTCCCCAACCCCATCCAATACCCATACCGACCTTACCCCTTCCCCACCCTTATAAAACTTAATAAAACATTTATAAAAAAAAAGGAAAGAAGATTTTATGGACCATAGCAACCAAGTTCACTCTAAAAAGAGAAGGCTCTAAAAAGAGAAGCCGATTCGGTCATTGTTTTTGGCCGTTTTTCGGCCTTTTCCAGCTTACCCGGCCTTCCCGTCCGCGGCGGCCCCGTTGATGGTTGGCGGGCGGCGTCTCCGGCCTTCTCCACCCCGCTCGGCCCAGACCACTCGGCCTGGACCACCTGGAGGTCCGGAGATTTTCCTCCACGGGGGTGCCTCCCCTGGCGTGGGGGTGTCTCTGGCGACCGGAGGGCCTCTCGGGTGATCTTGGAGGCCCGCGTGGGTTCGGCGGCCTCCTCGTCGGCTGCGATGGCCTGGCCAGGGACTTTGTGGATGGCTCTGACGGCCCCTTCAGGCGGCCTCTCCGACTACGGCTTGCAGCCTCCCTGGCGATCGGGGACCTCGGAGGGCTTTTTGGACAGCCTCGACGGCCCCCTAGTGGTGTCAGCTCTGGGGGATGGCCGCGCGGCCTGTTTGGGCGGCCTGTCCGGGGCCCTCTTTGGCCGGCTTATCTTCAATGGCCTGGAGGCCTTTTTTGAGACCTTCCGGGGGTTTTGGAGCCTCTTTAGTAGCTCCGAGGATTTCTGCGGCCTTTCCAGCGACCGTAGCC